TGGGAGCTCCATTTTCTTTTAAAGATTTATTTATTTATGCACTCAACAGCAGGGTGCAGGCCAGAGGCGTGGGGGGTTGAGAGGATTCACCAGAGACAGAGTGTGGAGCAGAAAAGGCAGATTGATGAAGTACACTGCTGAGGGGAGCAACGTGTGGAACAGGAGAGGTCTGCTGTGCCATGTGGGTCACTTCCCTGGCCAGGGATTGAACTCATGCTGCAGTGGCTGTGGACAGCTTCATACCCGTGTGCTGTGTTTTAACCCGTTGCACCACCAAGGAGGGCCCCCAGGCAGTTTTTTTTTTTAAACAAATTCACAGCTCACTCAGGCTTGATCCTTGCTGGCATGGAGACACTAGCCTGCTCCCAATCTCTGGAAGAGGAAGACTGGAAGGAGGAGTAGAGGAAGACTGGAAGAAGGAGTCCTGGGAAGGGCAGGAGGTGCCAAGGAGCAGGTGGGGCTCCCTAGTGAAGGATAAATGAGGCCTTGTTTCTCTCCAGGCCCTCCTTGTTTTGTTTTTGTTTTGGGGTAACAACTCCAGACTTATTAGTTTAAAAAGCTGGGGAAATCCTGGCCCTCCCTGGTGGCGCAGCGGGTTAAAGCGCAGCACTGAGAAGCTAAAGCCGCTTCCGCATGAGTTCGATTCCCGCCTGCCCCGGAGGTGACCACATGGCGTGGCAGACCTCTCCTGACCCTCCCGCTGCTCCCCTCAGCCTGTTCTGTTCCACTCTGGTGAAGCCTCTCACTGCCCCTGAGCCTCTGGCCTGTACCCCAGTTCTGTATGCACAAATAAATCTTAAAAAAAAAAAAAAAAAAGCTAGGGAAATCCTTAATAGTCATTTATCCAATCATGCCAGGAACTGAGACCCAGAGGGCAGCAGCTTGCCAGGCACCTACCTGTGTGGGACTTTGCTCAAACATTTTAAACAGTCAAACATTACTAGCTGGATGCTGGATGAAATCAGTTCCTTCTGCTCCAAGTCTAGTGGGGAAGGGAAAGTGGTAGGGGAGGGGAAACTTTCCCTACCTTCAGTTTCTACTTCACCTTGTTGGACCGTACAGAAATGTCTGCAGCTGGAAGGGAGGGAATCCAGTCCAACCCAGCCAGAGAGGTCTGGACAGAACTTGGGCATCCTGGGGGCAGTTTTCTTTACACTGCACAACTTAGTCTTTAGCAACAGGCCTTTGCTTTGGGTGCTGGGGGCACAAGAATTGTTTGCCCTGAAATAAATTCTTCTGGCTCTTGAGCATATTGTCTACAACCCAGGGACAGGACTGGGCCTTAAAGTATCTCCAAGGAACGAATGTCTAGCTTAGAGTTTGAACCCAGCACTATGCTACGTGTTGTCACATGTCCTCACATCTGAGTGGCAACAGTGTTGGGACCTCAGAGACCAGAAGTCCAAGTTCTGTTTCCCAGATAAGGCCACCAAGGCCCAGAGGGGACATGGGGCTTGTCCTCATCTCCTGTCCTGTCTTAATTTTGTAGTCTGCACAATACCAGCATTGTGTCAGTCTCATAACTTCTCACTGTGTACAATAAATTCTTGCAGCACTGACTATCAACAAGATGCTGCTCTGTAGCAGCACCCTTGGTAATTGATGGAGCTTTCAAGAGTGCTTATTTCCTTTGATACATATCTAATCAATGCTTATTGCTTGGATTTATCAACTCCCTTCTTCATTGCTCTGTAGTATATTTTGCCTGGGCTATGTTTAGAGAGAATCAATTATTTCCACCTTGGGCACTCTTTGGAGGCTAGTTGGGCCACAGAAGTGTTTTGCCAGGGGCCAGAATTGTGGGCTGGACAGCTCCGTCAGATCCTCCTCAGTTTCTGGAATGCAGTCTATGAACATGAAGATGTCCATCCCAGGAAATTCTGGGTTGGGGTTTGGAGGCGAGGGCACATTTGGACTGGGTACCCTGTTTATTCCACAGGTAACTGCCCTAGTTTTCGAGGGCACAGATATGAGGTGAGTGAAAGGGGGTATGAAGGATATGGCTGTGAGGTGTGCCCCCACCCCCCCGGGGGAAGGTTGCTCTTTCTCCTGCTCTGAGTACTGGCTAGGACGTTTCTCACAAATCCAGACAGGAGTAGCAACTCCTGGAGGCCCTAGCAGTGTTGTTCACCATTCTTCATTCCTCTCCTCGCCCAGATGCTTCTATCTCAAATCCAATAGTGCTGCCAGGTTCAAAGCCTGCCTCCCCTCCCAGATTAATTTTCTTCTACAAAGAGGTCAAGTTCAGCCCTGGGTCCTGTGGTCAAAAGTTCTCCAGTCAGCATCTAGATTCACCCACAGGCTCACTCTACACTGCACTATCACTGACAACCCCTTATCCCCATCTCCTTGGTGAGTGGTCCTGGACAGGGCCAACCCTGGGGACTCAAAAAAAGCAATTTTATCTCAGCAAGGAACTCTGATTCCTTAAAGACAGATCATTTTTGTATCCCCAACACCTACCACAGGTGCTCAAGAAACCAGAAGAATGAAGGTGAGAGTATTTAAACTCCTACTTATCAGAGGAGGGGCAATCTGAGGGCTCATCACGGCTCCATGTGGTGAATTTTTTTTAAGATTTATTTATTATGCATACAGAACTGGTCAGAAGTGCAGGGGTCGTGAAAGGATTCACCAGAGTCAGAGTGGGGAGCAGAACAGGCTGACTGACGAAGTACACTGCTGAGGGGAGCAGCGGGGGGGTGTGTCAGGAGAGGTCTGCTGCGCCATGTGGGTCACCTCCCTAGCTGGGGATTGAACTTGCACTGAAGTGGCTGCGGCTGGCTTGCAGTGCTGCGCTTTAACCTGCTGTGCCAATAGGGAGGGCTCTTTTTTTTTTTTTTAAAGTTTTTGTTTATTTATTCACACAAGAAGGAGGGTCTAGGCCAGAGGTGCTGGGGTGGGGTGGTAGTGAGAGAATTCACCAGAAACAGAGTGGGGAGCAGATCAGGCTGATCTGCTGAAATACACAGCTGAGGGGAGCAGTGGGGTGGGACAGGAGAGGTCTGCTTTGCCAAGTGGGTCAGCTCCCTGGCAGGGGATGGGGATCCAACTCCTGCTTCAATGGCAGCAGACAGCTTAATAGAGGTGCACTTTAACCCTTTGCACCACCAGGGAGGGCCCACAAATAGATGTTTATTTATGTATTGTTATCAGAGTCCATCAAACAGTGTGTGCAGGTTCCAGAGTGTGTGTATGTGGTATAAGGGGGCCTGATGTAATTAAAGGACCCAGGAAGGCCTCCTTCAGGAAGTGGTCATTAATTGAGCAGTATGGATGAAGAAGAGTTAGCCAGCCAAAGAGAAAAGGGAAGTCAGTATTCCAGAAAGAAAGAAACAAAAACAAACAAAAAACAGTGTAAAGCAGTGGTCCTGAGGAGCAAGGAGCACACTCTCCAAGGGCATGAGAGAAAGTCATGACTGCCAGAGTACAGAGCCAGGGAAAGCGAGGTGAGGGGGCAGATCATGTAGAAAATTCTAGTTTTTTTTTTTTTCCTTTTTCTAGTGTAGGGAGAGGACCAGCTGCAACAAAATCCCTTGGGGGTGCTTAGTGAAAATGAAAATTTCTGGGACTGATTCCTGCTGAAAAATCAGCTTTCCATTATAAGGTTCTGAGCATTTTGAGCAAGTTCCTTAGGAAACTTCTGAGTATCTTAAAGTTTGAAAACCACTATTTTTGAGACAGAAAGATTTCTGTGACAAGACCGAAAAGGTTTTTAGCCCCTTGATTAACTTTGTGTTCTACAAGGGCACCCTGGCTTTGGAAGAAAGCTGTGGTGGAAGCAAGGAGTGGATGGGCTGCTTGAGCACTACATTATCTCAGTGGAGGGGTGACTTGACTTAGAACAAGGGGGTGGGAATGCAGTCATGACATACTTTGTAGGAAGAACCTTCACCGTGTGCTTCAAAATCATTTATGTGCGTCGTTTACTTTCAATGAAATACATGATCACTGCACAATTTTAAACACGCAGGAAAATATAGGGCAGAAAACAAAGGTAAATATTTTGCCTTGGGTATATATTCTTTACATATATATAAATCTATCTATATCCGTATGTGCTCAGACATATGGATCTAGTCTGTTGTTTACGATAATGGAACCATTCTGTAGGATTTGATTCCTGATTGTCAAGAAAAGAATACATCATGAGCATCTTTTCAGGTCAATACTTTAAATGTCTGGATGGTACTCTACTTAATTGACATGCTCTCTTTTATTTGTCAGTCCCCAACTGATGGATAGCTTGGTTGTTTCCAACTTTTTACATCACCATAAACAACCTAAACTCCTTTTTGAACACAACAAAGTTTATTTCCTTCGAATAAACGTTGAGTCGTGGCGTGGACAAACTGCCGGGCTAGTCACACGTACTCATTGTGCGCTAGCGGGAGTTGTAGAGGAGAATGGCCCCAGAGGATGACCGGAAGTCCTCCTTTCCAAGGCCCTGGTCCACTACTACCAAACTCGTTTTTCCCGGCCTTTCCATCGCTGGCCGGGATGCAGCGCGCGCGGTCGGAGCAGGTGGGTTCCAGACCGGTCTCGGTCACGCAGCCCCAGGCCGCCCACTGTCCGGGGCCTCGCAGTCTCCCCAGCCCCCAGGAATCCTTCCCTAGTTCCCCTCCCCCCAGCCCCCCCGCGGGAGGGCGTGTTAAGAAGAAGCTGAGGCCGGCGACGATTGCACCATCCGCGGCTTGAAAAGGAAGTCGAGGAAGCGCAGGCAGGAAAACCGAGCGTCCCGGAGGCCGAGTGGTAGCGCCCCGGCGGCCCCGGCAGCGCTCCACCCGCCGCGGCCCGCGGGCTCGGGGCCCCCGGCTTCACCCCCTCCCCGGCCTACCTCGCGCGGCTCCGGCCCTTTAAGAAGCTGTCACCCGGGCGCTGCTGGCCCCGCCCCGCGGGGAGGGCCGCGAGGGAGGGGAGGGGCCGGTGGCGGCTGAAGGGGGGGGGTCTGGGTCTATTTTTAGCTCCGGGTCGGGTCACGTGACGGGAGTGACGTCTCCGAATGTTGTTGTTGGTGGCGGCGGCGAACTGAGCCGGAGGAGCCGCCGCAAAGATGGAGGAGCCGTCGAGTAGGCGCTGCTGCTGCTGCCGCCGCCGCTGCTGCCGCCGCCGCCTGCGAAGCTGGAGCTCGAGCCGCAGGGGGTGAGCGCGCCGAAACCCCTCGGCCCATCTCCCCGCGGCCCCTGGGCGCGAAGCGGGTCCCCCTCCTTCTGCGGTGCTGCCGGCGGGCTCCCCGCGCGCGCGGCGCGCTCCGCGCCCCCCTTTATTCTCCGGGCGCTCGGTGCCAGCCGGCGCCCCTGGCGAGCGTCGCCAGCGGGCAGTCCGGGCTGGGGTTCCTGCACGCGCCCCTCCTCATCCCTCCCAGACAGGGACGCCTTCCCTGCAGGTAAGGGAGGCGCCCCCAGATAGCTGGGAGGCCAGCGGAGGTTGTCTGATTTGCCCCATCCGGGCGCCGCACGTTGCGTTGCGGAGCGACTTGAGCCCTGCACCCGGATTCTATGCAGCCCCTCTTCGATGGACATCCTTTTCTTGGGACGCTGAGCCGAGGGGCGCTGGCCACCACACAGCGCTTCCAGCCATCCCTAAGAACGCATTCTTGGGATTTTGTGTCCTTGACTTCTCTGCAGGAGGGGGGCCTGCGGGGCCCACCTTACTTCTCTCTCCCATTATTCCCACCCCTTCCCCGTGAGGCGTTACTGCGTTTGTTCCCACCCTCTTTCCAGTCTGACACCCTGGAGCCAGAGAGAGAGAAAGAGTGAGCACGATCGAGCTAGAGATGAAATGCAGCGCTCCCCCTTCTTGTCTGGGGTGGATGCCCCCCATTTTCCACTCTGGGTCTGTATCTCATGGAAGCAGGGCCCCTGCCTATGCCTTTTAACTTGGGGGAGGCTGCTTCCTACCCCACCCTTCTCTGGGGCCCTGGGGAAGATGAGAATGGCTTGGGCGATAAGTAATTAATCTGGGAGTCTGGCTAGTGGAGGGGAGAAGGAGGTAGGGGTGCCCCATTTGAGGGAGGAGACGACCACCTGATACCCCATCTGTTGGACTTCTGAGTTGTGTCCCTAAAAAAGAAGGATAGGAGCTACGGTTCTTGAGGGGAGAGAGAGTGTGTGTGTGGTTGGGGGCTGCTTAACAGATCCAGCATTCTGAGACCACTGTGCTTCTGGTGCCTGGAATTAGCCTTGGCAGTTTGGGGTGGTGGTGTTTGGGTTCAGGTCCAACTGGGAAGGGAGGACGGAGCCAGATAATAGAAACAAAAGGAGGCAGGGGATGGGAGACCCAAAAGTCTCGGCCAGAGGGACCCCGCGTGCAGGACTGGCCCTGGGGGCTTGAGCCCAGGCAGAGAGGGTCCTCAGTTGGAGATCCAGGTGCCAGGTTCCCTGAGCCGATGCTGGCCGTCCTGATGCTGGACTGGGCTGGGCATGGGGGATGAACCATGTTGGGGGCTGTCTGCTCTTTCATTCCAGTCTTCCCTCCGTCCTTCCCCTTCTGAACACAAAGCTCAGAGAGACCTTGGTTTGCCTTCTGCCCTGCTCTTGAATCTCCTCCTTGCCCTCTCTCAGCTTGGACATGCTTCTGGGCTACATCCTCGCTCTGAGTTAGAGGGGTGGGTCCCCAGCATCTCCCCTCTGTCCTCGGAAGGTACGCATGCCAGGGACCAGTGAGGCAGACCAGGTGCAAGTTAATTGGGGCCAAGGATGGAGGACATGTTAGCTCTGTGCTGGCCTGCCCTTCCTCCCATGTAGCCTGTGAGCCTGAGTGGGTAATTTGGAGGGGGCAGCGGTACCACAAGCCCCACCCACTCCAAGTAGCTACCGAGACAAAGGTTTGCTTTCCTTTCCCTAGGGCTGGCATCTTAGCTGAGTGTTTAGATATGGGGCCTGGGGATTGGTGGGGGGTAGTCAGTGTTTTTGTATGGGGGGAGGGGAGAATCAGCTATAGGAGATGGGGGGGAGTGCAGTCGGTTCGAAGTACCAGCTGCTCTTTAATAATTAATTCTTCCTACTCACATCCCTTTGAGGAGGGATGTCTGGAACACGGCATCAGGCTTAGCCAGCCTGCCGAGGACTCACTCCTGTTGGTGGGGGGTGGGGAGAGACTGGGGGGGGCGGCGGTTCTTGGCATTTTTGGAGCACTGTAGCTTGCTCATGAATGAAAACCTGATGCCGCCTGCCGTGAGGGGCCTATTGTAGCTGACTTGGGCTAATTAAACTTTCTCTGCCTTTCTTCTCTCCCACCCTCCCTCACCAGAGCCCCAGACCAAGTCCTTTCTTGAATGGGGACCCTGTCTGGTAGTGCTGGGGAGGGGTATTGGTCTGCCTGAGGTTTTAGGGCAAACAGACCTGGTCTTCTGCCCTCTGCCTCCGCCTCCTGCCTTCCTCCCCTCTAACCCCCCCCCCCTTTTTTTTTTCTAGAAATAGCAGCCTCCTCCATCTGGCTTGTGCAGATGCCTGGAGCTGCGTCTGAGCAGACAAACAGAAATGGGCTGATTGCAAAAATGAATTTGTCAGCTCGGTGCCTCGGTGCCTTTTTTCCTCCTCTGTTTCCCTCCCTGATCCCCTAGTTTGGAGTCTGGACATCTAAGTGAACCCCCTCTCTTGGCTCTGAGAATCCCAGGCTTCTTGGGGTCCACTTTAGGGAAGGCACAAGGCACTGGAAGGCTGGGGAAAGTGGCCTGTCGGATCTGGAGGGGTCAAGATAAGAGGTCCTTTGTGCCTTGAGCTTAGATGTCTGGGTTTGTAGCTTTCCGATAAGTTTTTGGGGGCAGATCTCAGATTGTGCGCAATCTCAGGCTCGCAGGATTGATTTGCACTGCTCACCTAGCTGCCTCTGATGGGGGGAGGGGACCTTGGTCTCACCTCTGTGCTCAGGACTTGGGTCTGCCTGGAGCTGGATGGGAGCTGCTGTGTTAGGAGGGAGCTGCCTGGTGACGCTGGAAGTTCAGCTTCTAGAAAAGCCCTGGAAGGGACACCTGATTCCCCAGGAATTGGAGGGAGTTGTTTGCAAGACAGGATCCCTGCAGGGCAGCAGGTGAACTTGTGACCTGTGGGACAGTCACATTGCTTCCTGTCTGCCTCCCTTGTCTGGCCTTTTCTCCCTCCCCTCTGCCAGAGCTTTTAGTGGTCATGAGTGGTGTGTGTGTGTGTGTACACGCGTGTGTGTGTGCCTGTGTGGGGTGTCTCCCAGGCTTCTTTCCCTACCTCCCCTGGCTTAGTCGTGAGCTTGTCCAGTGAGAAGCTGCCCATTACCCTTACTTCTTGTTCTGCTACCCTGGTTGGAGGTGAGAAGCGGGTTTGGATCTTGGAGTGGGGCAGAGACCTGACTTAAAGCGGGAGTGGATGCAGTGAGAAGGGGGCCAGGGCCCTGGGGTCTGCCTGGATTAGGGATTCACAGGTCCTAGGCTGCCACTGATAGCGCCCAGTGCTGGGTTATCCAGGAGCCACCGAGCTTTCTGGCCCCCTCCCCTCCGCCCTCATAAACCCTCATAAACATGGGCACGTTTCTCTGGCAGAGGGTCTGAGCGCTCAGGCTTTAACCATCCCTCCGTCCTTTTTCCTCTTCCTGTCCCACCCGAGGCAAGAATCTGTGGCTGCTCTGAGCAGGTGGTGAACACGGCTTTGCTTCTGAGGGAGGTTCCTGTTCACTGGGGAGACTTGCTGGGGGTGTTGCAGACGCTCTTCACAGGTAGACAGAGTCCCGGGTGCTCCCGTCCTGCAGGGTGGGGAGAAGTGCACCTTGAGCGAATTGGGAGTCACTTCCTCCTTCTCCCCAGGGGGTGTGGGTGATGGGGACATAGGGCTGATCTTAACCTAGTTTGTACCCGTGAGGCTCTGCCCCTTCTGAATGCCCGTTGTGAAGGTGCCTCTCACTAAGGAGATGGGTTGGGCCTCTTGGGCTGCTGGGAATCGTGGGAATTTCTGAACCTGTGTTCCCCAGCCCACGGGAAAGGGTGTGAGCAAGACTGGGCGCCAGCCCCGGGGTGGGCACGGGCTGAGCTGCCTGCCCACGCGGGGCCTTGCCAAGGCACCACCAGCCCCACCTGCTGCATTCCTGAGCTTGGCCCCAGCCCTGAGCAGCCTCTTTTGTCCTTACCCCACACCTGTGCCTGCCAGGAGCCTTTGGCCCCTTCACTCTGCCTCCACCCACTCCTCATCTGAGTATACCTTTCTCTAGTCCAAACACCGTGGGCATGGACAAAAACAGGGAGCAGCGTGCGTGTGTGTGTGCACGCGTGTGCGTGTGTGTTGGGGGTGGGGGTTCTTTTCCTGCCACAGCTGATTCCTGGGCTTCTGGGCTCCAGATGGACCCCACCCCTGGGAATCCTTGATGAGAATGCAAGACTTCCTGAGAACTAATCCTACTGAAGGTGGGGCTGTCCAGGGGGGTAGAGCTGATTGCCTGTTTCTGGCCTGGGGAGCAGAGTTAGGGCCTAAATCCAGCTCCTCTCAGCCTCATCTGATCGCTTCCTGCTACCTCACTTTCACTTGGAGGTCTTGGAGGACCTGCCTTCATTTGGAAGAAAATGAGATCATGTCTGAGCTGGATCGAGGGCTGTTTGGGGTAGGCCCAAGTGGGTGCATGCAGTGTCTGAGGCTTGAGGACCCACTGTGGGACTAGAGGGGAGCAGGGCAAGCTTGTAGTTCTGTAGTGCCAGACGTTCTCTGTGAAGACCTTGGCAGGCCTGCTCTGGGCCTTCACGTGCCTTTGTACAAACTGGAAAATTGAGTCCCTTATCTTGAATAGACTCAGCCTGGGTCAGCCCCGTGGCTTGGCTGGCTACGCTCAGACCTCCTCACACAGGCACACAGTAGACAACACACACAAAGCCCTGCGCTTGGGCCCTGGTTCCCCAGTCCCCGTGAGGGTGGAGCCCTGGGTCTGGGATGAATATCTCAACCTTTCCAAATTTGGGGAGATGACATGGGTTATGGGTGGAAGAGAGGGGGTTACCCTCATGCCCTAACTTGTTGAATGGGGAGACCAAGGCAGAGGCACATCACAGTTCCAGAGGTGGTGGCATAAGGATCGGCAAATAGGGAGACGCCTCCACTGGAGAGTCCCAGCTTAGGCTGCTGGCGCTGGGATGTCAGCTGCTCCCTTAACTTCTGCTGCAGCCTCCAGGTCAACCTTGCATCTCCCCATTGCCAGGAGAGAGTTCAGGAGCTTCCCTGCTCTTTCTCATCTGGTGCATTCATAACCCACATAGGACGCTTGGAGTCTAGGAGGCTTCGCACTTACCAGGCGCGGGGAGAGGAGCCTGGGGTGCGGCTCCCATCCTCTTGTCCCATCCTCTGAGCCTGCGGAGACTTGCCAGGTAGAGAGAGGAGAAACCAGACTCTGGTCCACATCGGTCCTCTCCGTGCCCCTCTCACTGATCCCAGGTGTAAAGTGACAAGCTCGAGGTCTCCTCCAACTCTCAGATTTCTGAGTTGGGGGCCTCTAACCCTGCTCCATCTCTCCCTAGGGATGCAGTTCTGAGTGCCTGACTGCCTCGCCCGGAAGGATGGCCTCGGATGGGCATTAGAGGCACAGCGGCCCCGGGCTCCTGTCCCGTCCGTCTGTCTGTTGTCGTCTGTCTCTCTTGACATCACCGCAGCTCCACCCCCTCCCGTCCCAGCCCCCAACGCCAGCTTCCTGCAGGCCCAGAGCCGGCATGAACTCTCCCAACGAGTCGGGTAAGAGCTGGGAGGCAAGAGAAAAGTACCTTGGGGTCACTTTGGATGTGATGGGCTGTGTGGGTATCCAGCCAGGGCCAGCTCACCTGCAGTGTCTGAGCTATGAGGGGCCCCCAGTGGACAAGCATTGATGGACAGAGGCAAACCTGCAGTCATTGACCTTGGGGTAGGCTTGGGATGGATGGGGTGACAGTCCGTGCTGACGCTGGGAGGACGGGTCCAACCCGGTCCCCATGCCTGTGCTCTCCACTTGAGGGCCTTCTATTCCCTCCCCACCCTGCGCTCTGTGTCCCTGAGTCCCTCTGGACAGTCGGGGATAATGTTGAAAGCATTAAGAATTTCCATGTGGCACCGGAGAGCCAAGCATTTTGTGCTGGTGGCTTTTCTGGGTGGAGTGTTTCTTTGTGTGGCACACTTTTCTGTCAGTGAAGGATTTCAGGGCCGAGCATCTGTGCTGGGGTGTGTGGGGCTGGGCTGGGGTACAGTGGTGTGTTGGTTGAGGTGCTGTGGCTCGCTCCTTTGAGTCAGGTAGACTTCTCCTCCTCTTGGGCTCTAGACCTGGTGGAATCCCAATTCGGAGCCTTTCAGCCTGAGAGTTCCTATTCTTCTTTGCTCCTAGGACCCTGCCTAGTGCTGCCAGAAATAGGCAGTGGGTGGGTCTCCAGGCTGCCTTGGGCACGGGTGGGTCTGGGCGTGTACCCATGAGGCTGTGTCCTAGTGGCCTGAGTTGGACCCTCAGGAGCTTCATACAAGGGTCAAGGGTCAGTGCGGTCAGGGTAATAACTGCCTTCTCTCCTGGGCCGTCTCTCTGTGCAGTCTTAAAGGATCAGAGCCCGTATTTTCCAATTTTACCCCTACCCCCTACAGCCCCTCTGACTCCCACACCCTTTTCTGTAGGGATGGGGGTATGTTTTTTCTTCTTTTAGAGACAGTGAAACTAGAGATGAAAATTCATTTTCAGAATGGCACAGAGATTGCTTGTGGGGGAGGAGGTGATGGGACACCATGCCCTCAAGTTCACTTTGCTTTTCACTTTGTTTCACTGATGCTTTCTGTGGTGGGGACCTGGTGCCTGTGATATGTGGTGGAGGCCCTCACCGGGGTCCTGGGGCTCCAGCAGACTCAGGGAAGTGGGAAGCTGGTGGAGTTGGTTGACTGTGTGCTGTTTGTTTGGGTCAGGGCTGTCCCTCCCCTCCCCTGCAGGCATGACAGACCCTGGGTACAGGCGCAGGCGGAGAGGAAGGCCGCTGGCTGGAGAACCTGGGCTTCTGAGACTCCCCAAGTCAGCCTGCAGGGTGCCCGACTCTCTGAGAGCCTCCTGCCTCTGCCCTGCCCTCATCCGGCCTGTGGGCTCTGTGCCTGGGGTTAGATGCGGAGAGGTGTCTGTCACCAGGTGCTGGGGTGGCGGCTGCACGTTCAGCTCTCACTCCTGCTTCCTCCTTTTAGGTTGGACCAGCAAAGGGAAAGGGGAGGCCCAGTGGGTTCTCATTAGTGCCTTGCCCATCTTAGCTGGGCATGCCCCTCCTGGGATGATTGTGCCCAGCGGTAGTGCCAGCTGTTCCTTTCCTCTGAGCTACTGCATGGCCCTGTCCAGGAGGCACCGCCAGTCACACCAGGGGGCTGACCCTTGGCCTTGGGCATTCTACTGTGGTTTGGAGAGGACTTTTCCCAGATGTGCCGTTTCATTTCTTTCTAGTGAAAGGCCAAATTAAGCTCTTTTGGGGGGACGAGACCACTAGGCTGCCTTTCCAGACCCTGGAGGCCCGGGTTGCCCTTGCAGCAGCCACTTCTGCCAGGGTTGGAGGGTGTGGCATGGCTGCAGGTGTCTGTCCCCTGCCGGCAGCAGGCAGCCTGGGAGGAGTCTCCCGAGAGGGGCCTGTGGAATCGGCAGGGCTCCTGGCTGGCTTTCCAGCTCCCCCAGCAGGGGGAGACGGCGTCTTCTCTGTGTCGGGAAAGGAGGGTGAGGAGGGGGTCAGAGACTGGGAGCCTCATTTGAGGACTTCGAGGAGCCCTCAGAGCTGGGATTATTACTGGGGAGCAGCCCCTTGAGGCCTTTCCTCATGAGATTTCCCCAGGCTTGGGACCGGCTTTCCCTGCTGTGGAGTTACGATTGTTTGGGGCCCCTGGGCCAGGGAGGCACCAGCCTCCACACAGCCTTCCCGGTCCAGGGCCCAGCATCTGCTATTCCAGGGTGGCACCTGGCTGGGGGTGTAGTGCCTGGCATATGCTCTTGAGGACCACAGAAGTCAAAGGAAAGTGTGAGGGTGCCCACTCCCGCCATGGACACCCCACGGGGAAAACCCCAGGAGGAGGTCCACGGGTCGGAGGTGGGAAGGATGGGGATAGCTGCTCCCAGGATGTGAGTGCCCCGGCCTCCTGAGCACCAACAGAGACCCCCTCGCCACTCCCGAGGGCACAGAACCACAGGCCTGGTGGGAGCAGAGACAGTCTCCTGTTGCTCCCCATCCCTCAGCTTCTCTTAGCGCAGGTGCTTATTGCCTGCCAGTCCCTGCTGAGTATCACCAGCCTGCCCACCGGCGTCTGGCTGCAGGGAGAGAGCAGATAGAAGGGGTCCGTCCTGCTCCTCGTGGCAAACAGGTCAGTGAGAGCGCGCCAGGTGAGGGGTGGCAGGTAGCCGCGTGGAGTGATTCCTTCTGGGGCTCTCTTCTCCTCCCTGGGGAGTGGGAGTTGATCTGCCTACCCTGGGCCTGGGCCCCATGCCAGCGTTTGACCTCATTTGCCTCTTTGGCCATCTCGAGATTACAGGTTGAGACCATTGATGGAGCTGCCGCTTCCCTGAGGAGTAGCCTCCTCGGGGGTGTCTGGCTTCTCTTCAGGCAGAAGGGGCTTGAGAGCCAAACTTTATTTTTCTGGAAGTGATCATGACTGCTCCCGTCCTGGGGTTGAAGTCCAGGCTTGCGTCCTGCCTGGACTCAGCTGAGCCCTGGAGGACCTGGGACGGGCCCTGCCCTGCCGCTGCCCCAGGCCAGTGCCCGGAGGAGAGGGCTTGAGAGAGACCTGCCATGTGAGCCAGTTTGGATGGTCACAGGCCGCAGAGGAGGCAACCAGGCCCTTAGCCCCAGCGTGGGAGGGAGACAAGCTGCCTGACGACACTCTCCTGCCCAGCACCTCCCAGCACGCTCCACACTTTCTCTCCTTCCCTTTCCCAGGAGGGAGGGCAGCTGCCCCCTCCTTTCTGGGTGACCAGAGAAACTGGGGCATGGGCGTGGGGTGGAGCCAGGAACTTCGGCGTCCTGCCTCCCAGCCTCGGGCTGGGCCTCTGCTCCTGAGCCCCCGGGGGAGGTGGGCAGCCAGCCCTGGGGAGGAGAAAGTGGGTCAGTGCTGGCATGGGGTGGGGGTCCGGGAAGTGGACGCTTGTCCCCTTTCCACCTGGGGGGGCGGGCGTGCCTCCGAGCTCACTGTAGATTGGGGTCTGCTGCTTTCTCCTCCCAGCTCCATCATTCCAAAGCAATTGATGGCTTAGAATGGAACCGTTGGGGGAGGCAGGCTCAACCCTGAGGGGATGTGGAAGACGCCAGAGTAGGTGTTCACATTCTTCCTGGACTTGGTTTCAAATGAGAGGGTTCACCCAGCACCTAGCGTGGGCCTGGCACATGGCGGCTCCCGGCGATGCCGACGCGCTGCAGCATGACTGGGCTCAGCGGGCAGGAGAGAACTGGAGGGCAGGCAGGCCTGGCGTCTCTGGAGCCGCGGGCAGCTGGCACCCGCACGCTAGCCGGGGTGCTCCTGGGCCAGCCCTTGACTCTCTTCCTGTTTACAAAGCAGGTCCTGCTTCCTTTCGTTAGGGCGCCATCCAGCCCAGCTTTCAGGGCCCAGGAAGTGGGCTCCTGGAGGAGCCCGGGAGCCAGCATTGTGCTCCTGCCTTCTCTAGAGGGTTAGGAGCCCCGAGCCCAGGAGGGGACGAGGCCACTGTCTGGAGGGGAGGTGCTAGCTCTGTACGAGGCCCACGGACCCTGCGCTCGGTGGGTGCTCTCTGAGGTCGGTGGGGTGACATCGGGGCGAGCCGACGGGGTCGGGCAGAGGGCAGACGTGAGCCGCAGGAGAGGGGCTAGGCCGGACTGAAGTTAAGCATGGGGAAGACGTCGCATCGCTCGAATCTGAGAGACACTTGTCCCCACCCCGGGTTTCCTTTCTTGCTGCCGGGAGGACTCTGGGAATGGCACTGAGGAATGTCTGGCTGACCGCTGCATCCCACCTGATGGAACAGCAGTAGTGCTGGGGGCTGGCCGGGCGCCTCCGGCCACCCCTGGGTGTCCAGCGTCGGGTACTCAGGAAGCGTCCCCTCTAGGTTTCAGGCTGCTGCTGTCCCGGAGGCCCTGATTTGGAGTCACTGTAACTGGTGATTTCCTTTCTTCCAGAACAGGGCTCCCCTGCCATACTCTCCTGTGCCTGGGGCAGGCAGAGAGAGCCAGGACAGGGCTAGCCAGCCCTTCCGGTTGCTCCTAGCGTGGGTGGGTGGAGTTCTGGGCTGGGAGGGCCTGTTGCCCCTGGCTTTCTGGGCTCCCTGGAGTCTGCTGCATGTTACCACCGAGGGAACCTTGGGCTTCCCTTTCCTTCCTCTGAGAGAGCCTAGGTGGCCAGGACAGGGCGAGGTGCCACCAGCCTCAGGCCCTGTGGCGGCACTGCCCCACTCCCATGTTTCTGGAGTCCATCCTGGGCCGCGAGCTGGGCCTCAGGTTCTCCTGTTCTTTCCTCCCTTGTTTCCCCAGCATACATTTGGGCCTGGGAGCTAGGGTCTGGGAAAATCCTCCTTGGCGACCTCCCTGTTCACATAGCCCCCAGCCCGAGGGCAGGAGGCTTTGCCGTCCCAGACTGGCAGAGCTGGCTGGGAAGATGGGCTTCAGGAACCATAGCCACTGTGTCCTTGGTTGGCCAGTTCCTCCTGGGCTCCGACAGGAGGGTGAGGTCATCCAGTCCAGGGAGAGGACAGGTGTCCCTGGCTCCATGCCTAGAGTTGGGGGCAAGGAGGGGCCAGGAGGGGGCTCGAAAATAGCAACTGTGACATCAGGAAGGGGGAGGGGGCACAGACCCAGGAATAACCAGGCTATTAAAAGGCTCCAGTGAGGTCAGGGGGCCAAGTGGGCTCTCTAACTCTAGGAGGTAACACCTGAGGGGAGGGGACTGACCAACTTGAGGTCTGGTGGGCAGGTGTTACTAGTCCTCTTGGGGTACAAGCCTGGGGGCCCCGCAGGTCCCCGGCTGCGCTGCCAGGCCTGAGGCTGGTGGGGAAGGACTGGAGGCTGGCAGCCTCTTGGCTCTTTAGAGGCCTTCAGCCTCTTCTATTCTACCTGGGTACCGGGGTCATCGCACCTGTTCACGGAAACCCTAGGACAGCGTCGCGTACTCCCCGTTGGAGAGGCGGTGTGGACTGCGGTGGGCATCGCAGCCCTGCTGTGTAAGCCGCCGAGTGCTCCAGGGCGAGTGTTCCTGCCTGTGCCTCGGTTTCTTCCCTGTACCTGTCTCCTGAGGTCACCATGCAGGAGAAGTGAAGTGATGTGTGTGCTGCTCGTAGCGTTGCCTCACGCGTTACCTGTGCTCTGAGAATGGGCAGGTGCTTCTCCCTGGGCAGGGCAGGGCCTGCCAGCCTGGAAGGAAGCTGAGCAGCCTCTGGGGCGACACAGTAATGGGTAGGAGGGAGCTGTCATTAACTGCCGGGGTCTCCCTACTGGCTGAGGGCCTGGGGAGACACCTCCCAGCTCCGAGGGAAGGCAGAGGCTAAGCAAACTTCCCCTAGTGATGAGGGCCCCTAGGCCAGGCACCGCCCTTTCCCAGACCCACCGCCCTTACCTGCTCAGGATGGCAAGGGGAAGGTGGGGGTTGAGCTGCCTCCTGTCTCCAGCCCTTACCTACCAGCAACGGCCCCTGAGCGCCTCCCAGACGCACGGGCTCTCCAGCCTGTGCCCTTCTCCAGCCTGGCTTTTGGTCACCGGGCGCTGTGGCCTTGGCCCTGAGTACGGGCCCTCCCCTATTCCCATCCCCCTCCTTGGCGCTTCCTCCTGGGGTGGAACTCACCTCCCCCCCACCCCCCATGGGGCCTCCGCCAGGCCCGGGCTCCTGGCAGCCGGCCGGCGGCTCCCTGAGCATGCTCCACCTATTTATAGACAGGGCCCTCCCCCAACTGCTATTTCAGTCTCCTGCCAGCTGCCGGCGGCTCATTCGGGAAGGAGGAGCAGGGAGCCGGGCCCAGAGCTGTCACCCAGGGTTGGGAGGGAACAGAGAGCCCGCCTGCCTGCTGAGCTCCCCTTCCTGTCCCCAGCTCTCGGCCACAGCCCGGCTCCTGAGAGCTGGGGAGGGCGCTGGTCGCAGGTCCAATGCCCCTCTAGAGGAGAGCGGGCAGCTCCTGGGCCTCTCTGCCGACTCGCTGCTGCCAGGAGCCTAGTGTGGCCAGGCCGGATGAGGCATCTCCCCACTGCTCCGGCCCCAGCCACAGTGGCCTGAGGGAGCCCCGAGCAGCCAGCGCCCCACCCGACCACCTTTCCTTTGGCTGACTTCCCGCCTCAGGCGGCCCCTCCCTGGCATGCTGCTGGTGCCCAAGGCCCAGGGGCTTGTGGAGATGCTGCAGACCATCTATGAGACGGAATCCTGTTTCTCAGCAGATGGGATGTCAAGCCGGGAGCCGTCCTTGGAAATCCTGCCGCGGACCCCTCTACATGGCATCCCTGTGGCAGGTAAGTGCTGCAGCGTCCCAGCCTGCCCCCTCCCGACAGCCTTACCCCTGGACTGGGCATTTGGCTTCGGATCTCACTCAGACAGGGTCCTGAGTGAATTTGTGGAGGACGTGGGTGGACGGGGAGTCTCGCGCCCTGAGGTGGGCTTCCCGGGCCTGCCCGGCCCAGAACCTGCCCTCCGGCCATGCCCCCCAGCCGCCTCCCCCTGCATCTACGGCTGGGCTGGTATCAGCTGCTGGGGGCTGTGGACTACTAGAGGATCCTGGCCTAGTTGGCACCGCAGTCAGAGGGGAGGAAGTGGGTCAGTGACCTGCCATCAGATTGCTCCCCAGGTCTGGGCCGGGGTAGAAGCCGTAGCTGGAGTGTCCACAGGAATGAAGGCTCCCCAGCTCCTCAGGCCGGGTGCTGGGGGACAGAAGGTGGAGAGCAGTGATTTCTGCAGGTCCCCGTCAGCAGTCCCTTGAGAACAGACGGCTGGGGAGGAGGTTTATGCTTGTGCTAGAGTTGGCAGAGGCTGGTGCCCAGGGTGTCAGGGGTCTTGGCCGCTTTAGCCCCTGGCTCTCCCGTAACTCCTTCCCCCAGGCCTTGGTGTGTACCCACCTGGCTAGAGTGAAGGGGTGCCACTCTGGCTCATGTGGCCTGAGGACCTCCTAACCCTGCTACCTTCTTAGCAGGAACTTTTCTGGCCCTTGGCTGGGGGTGGGGCCCCCCTGAGCTGGGCCGCTCCCTCCCTCTCTCCCAGGAACCTGTTGGCAGCATCCAACCTTTCTGGCACAGTTTCCCCACCGGGCCGGCACCACAAGATGCTTCCTCTGGGGAGGGGCCTGCTGGACCTGTGCCCGCTTGGCCCCTCCTGGCAGTGGTTTGGCACCCGGGTGTGGGTGTCTGTGTCTGTGTGCACAGGGAGTCTTGGCCTCTGGATGCGTGGGTGTGGGTCCCAAGCCCTAAACTGGAAGCCGTGGGAGCTGTGTGCCTACACAGGTACTGGTTTGGCTCCGTGCCATCCAGGGATAAGGTTGCAGCTGGACGGGGATGTGTCAGGGAGTGGATGTTTTGGAAAACCCTTGGAACAAGGTCTGCCATCTGCTTGTGCTGGGATGCCCATCTCTTAGCAGAGGGGACCAGCCGGTGGGGTGCCCATGCAGGCTGCTGGGGCCCGCCCTGCAGAGTGCCCACCTGTCCGTGGGGAGGGCACAACATAGGGGGCTGGGCCAGCCCGGTCGGCTTATCTGCAGCTCCAGCTAGAGGCGCTGCCTGCTGACAGCCGATGGGCACTTGGAAAGCGGAGGGGCGAGTGCGTGCGCCCGCCTGGTACTCCTGCGGCCCGCGCCACATCCGTCCACCCACCCTACCCTGTGCCCACTGTCCCTTGCCTCCCGGCAGCCTCTGGTCGTTGGCCTGAGATTTCCTCCTCAACTTGTTCTCTCACCTGCTTTTTAGTTAGATCACTGGAACTTTGCAAACTGGCGCCTGCTCTCCCCATCCCCTCCCGAAGGCCCCTGTGCAGACCTCCCCCAGCCAGCGCCTCCCTGGACCCCGGTCTGTCCACTCCTTTTCCAGGAGTCTCTTTCTCCTTCCCTCCTCAACCTAGCCTGTGCGGTGGCGTGGTCCATGCTGGCAGGAGGGAGGTGTGAGTCACCTCGGCAGCTCCGGGAGAGGCTAAGAATGTTCCCCCTGCGCAGCTCTGATGCTGTGTCTGTGACGCGGCTGGGGACAGATATAGGCCTGGAGCTCGCTGCCTTGTTTTTTTTTTTTTTTTTTGGACTCTGGAATGTAAATAGATGTTTCAAATAGAAACACTTTAACCTTTGGGTTAAAAAAAATCCACCCCAGATAAACACAGCCATGAGGGCTCAGGCGGCCTGCTGCCGGTCACCCCCACCCGCTGTAAAAGCAGGTGTGCAGGGAAAGGCTGGGTGCTGCGGCCACTGGCCTCCCCAGCCCCATGGACTGGGGAAGGGGCTTTCCAGGGTGGGTGTTTTCTGCCTGGACTCTGCTTACTCTAGCAGCAAGTCTTTGAACCCCACTTTGGGGGTCGCCCTTGCCCAGTTCACTGCTGTCCCCCAGCACTTGGCACAGTGCCTGGCTCATGGACGAACGAGTGTTGCCGGAGGGGGCTGGCGCCCAGGCCTGAGGGCAGGACTCCTGTGCTCTGTTCTGGGGCTTGGCATTTGGAGATGGCAATGTGAGTGGCCCCAGCAGGCCCGCCAGGGCCTTGGCACCAGGTCAGGTGAGGGTACTCTTGACTGTGTCTGCTTGGTTTGTTTGGGACAAACCAGCTTCTGTTGATGTGAGCAGAGGTCTTCCTTGAGGAATGGGGGTCCTGCCTGGCTCCCCCACAGCAACCCAGTGCACAGTGGGCAACTCCTTGTCCAGCCCTGGTCTCGTTTCCGGGAACCGGGAACATGAACTCAGTGTGGGCTTCCCCAGGACACATGGCCGGGAAATCCCTGCCTCCCCTCTGCGGGCCCTGGAGTCCCCTCTTGCCTGCACTGGGCAGAGCTGATGCCTGGCCAAGCGCAGGATACGTGAGCAGGCGTGGATGGGAGACTGTCCCCAGAGAGGGAGGTTCTGAGTCCCGCTGTGCCAGAGAGGGGTGCGGTGGATTTGGGGAAGCGCCAAGGGACTTGGGCTTGGTATTGGGATTTTCCCTGGACATTCTTCACGTTTTTCAGCCTGTTCTAAGCTTGCTTTGTCGGGGGCAGGGGGTCTGTAGGTGCAGGGCTGGAAGATAGGAAGGGCAAGACTCCTGGGAAGGGGACTAGTGTTACAGTGAGCCAATTGCAAGGCATCAGGCATCCTTACCTTCTCTCTTGGGAGGACAGAAACAGCCGTGTTTTACAACTGAGAAGGATCAGAGTTTAAGGAACTTGTCCGTGGTCACCATGTAAGTGGCAGCTGGACTGAGAATCAGAATTCCGTGTGTGGCCACTCCTGACCTGCCCAACATTTCCTTTGTATACGCCTTTCAAAAATGATCCCTTTTCTCATACCAGAGTCTGTGGTTCAGTAATTGGGATGTGGCCTAGATTTCGGCCCCCAACCCACCCCTTCTGATGGGTGCCTTTGTGTAGTACAGGATCTGTCCAGCCTTGTTTCACAGGCTCTGTGGCTCCAAAGCCTGTGCTCCTGGAGGCTCAGACCAGTCTGGCCTCAGGGTCTCCTGAGAGGAGGCTTTGTTTTCTATAAATACTGGCGATCACTTGGTCAGCTGTCTCCCTGTGGGGATTCTGGCCCAAGGGGAAAAGGGGGCTCAGGAACAAAGTTGAACACCCCATCCCATACAGACAGCCTGCCTGCCCCCCTCTCTTACCTCATCCCATCTTCTTGTTTTTGAGACCCTCAGCTGTCCCTTCCCTGCTACACAGCTGCCAGACAGGAAATCAGATTAACTGTGTCCACACACACAGCTGTAACAGCTGTCAGGTTGGCAGCACAAGTGAGTGCAGCCAGCCTGGGACACTTGAGAGCATGATTCTCTTTCAGTTGCAATAATACCGTCTTACCCAAAGCCTTCCTACCCCCTAAAAACAAAGTTTGGATTCTGTGAGGCAGCCCAGGAATCAGCATTTTAGTACCTCAGTTGATCTTGCTGTGAGTAGACTCTGGCCTGGCTTGGAGTAAGGGCTGTGTGGACAGGGGTCAGAGGCCTTGCCGCCTGCCCATCGGGTAGAAGACCTCAGTGGATAGGCTGTGGGACTTCTGGGGGACGGACCTACTGCGGACGGAGGGAGGCTTTTGCCCTGGTCCCAGGCAAGTCCAGCTCCCAGCAACCAGGTGGTCTGGCGGTAGAGGATGCTGGGATGCGGGGCAGCGGGTATATATTCCCCAGCAGGGCTAGTGCCAGGTGGGCAGGGGGCTGTGCTGAACACTCAGGGCTGGGTTGTGCTTGGAGGGCGCCTGCCCTCCAGCCCAGGTGTGGAGCAGACGTGTTCCAGCGACAGCTGCAGACTGCGTGGTTAGTGTGCCTTTTAATTGCTTCCAGTTTGGTGCCTGAGTGGTTCCTGGAAATGGCTGGTCAGGGAGGAAGTGAGTCTGTCTCATCAGATAATATCCCAAGTTCAGCGACCACTCATCAGTGAAAAGGGCTTTGTGACTTCCAGCTGTCTGTACCTCCCAGTGTCAAAGTCTGCCTCAAGGTTTCTTAGGGTTCTGTGTACTTGTTCCCCTTTCCCCTGTGTTTCCAGATTCTGGTGTTCTGGGGGCCAACCAGGTACCCCACTGTAGACCCTGAGATCTTTAATACAGAGTTTGTTTCCTCCCTGTGCCTCATTAAATTCTGGAGTAGGCTCTCCCTGGCAGTGCAGTGGGTTAAAGCACAGCACTGTGAAGCTATCTGCAGCCACTGCAACAAGAATTCGCTCCCCTGCCAGGGAGCAGACCTCTCCTGTCTCACCTGCTGCACCCTCAGCAGTGTGTTTCAGTAATCTGCCTGTTTTGTTTCCCACTGGTGAATTTTCTTACCCCCTGCACCTCTGGCCTGGACCCCAGTCCTTGTATGCATAAATAAATCTTAAAAAATGTCCAGAGAATTTTGGGGTTTCTTCTGGTTTTTAGCGGGAGACCCGTGTTAAGACCCAAGTTAAGCTCTGGTGCCTTCACCTTCTTTTCAGGTGATCAGACAAATCTCTTCTAGTTCTGGCCTCACTTTTCTCCCCTGTCACCTGGGGAGTTGATTTGCTGGTCTGCAGGCCCTTGCAGTAGTCAGTTATGTCTGTCTTGAGAAAAGAAGGGCTTAGGGTTTCTAGAATCCTGGAGATGTGGTATAGTCCAGGGAGAGGCTGGGCTGCAGCTGGCCTAACAGGGGCAGATGTCAGGGAGGCCTCTCTGACTGCCTGGGATGACGGGTCGAGAGCAGGGATCAAAACGAGTGCTTGTCTGCACGGGGCAATGCTTTGGAAGGGTGGGGGAGGTGGGGGACCCCGCTGCTGTGAGCCTGGCCCAGAGGACGGGCTGACTCTTCCTAGAGGTGGTGACACAGGGCAGACAGTTGAAGTGCT